TGTGGGTATGTAGTGGTATTAAGAGTAAAGTTAACACTGCTACATGTCCACATATTATCAGAGTGTGTGCCTGTTTCATTTCAAATGACATAATACTTCTAAGAAATCAGAGCAGAATTTTATGACAGAGTTCAGTTTCATTCTTATTTTCTATCGTAACTTAGGATTTTGCCTTCTGTCCAGTTAAATCTCCTGTGTAATCACAGATGAAATGTGGCAAACTTGCATATCTATCACAGGAAATCACAATCTTGTGCAGTGTTGCAGGAAATTATCACTGTGCTTTGTGACGTTTTACTGATAACTGATGAACAAGTGAAACTTACAGAAATGTTTATTCAGTAACCTCAGTGAGGTGAAATGCTTTAGTGCAGCTCAAATTGGAAACATCCAGAGTTAGTGGCAAGCCAATGCTCTTAACCTTTCATAAGTTCCACTGGAAATTATGAAATTGAATCAACTTTCTCATATAGCATTATTTTTTTTTGGTTAATTTTAAGTGCTCCTATTTGTGTCTTCATCTGCTAATTCAGGAAAGTTTAACTTAGTGCTGATTGTGTGAGGAAAAATGTTTAACTTTTTAAGCAATTTAAAATCCCAGGTCAAGTTTCCTAACTTCTCAGTTGACTTTTTTTTTTTTAGATGTTATCACTTCCAGCAAAAGGGGAGTGAGATGCATGGAGGAAATGAAGTGGGAAACATTCAGCAGTGAGGCAGTTGTGAATGTGGGGTTAGGTCACAGGGGCTTTTGCAGCAGCAATGTCTGTCCCGTCCCAGAGTTGGACCTTGGAGAGATTTCCAGAAGCAAGACTGGTTTTGAGGAAAATGTCAGTCAGCTACATCACTGCTGATTTGCAGTATGTATTTTTCTCTTCTGTGAAGTACAACTTCTGCCTAAAAGTCTGTAGCATTTTGTTTATTCCAAGAAAATGTGCTTTTACAGCTGAGCAAAGGCAAACTCGGGAAGCATTATAACCAGTTATTTCATTGACACCAGCTGATCAAACTGTATATGAGAGAGCTGGTGATATTTGTGTCAGAGCTGACAGTTTGTATCTGCCGAGAGCTATGTAGCACAGAGCGTCTGATTTCACCCAGACAGAAAAGTCGCCTGTACTCCTGGGAAACTTAGAGAATGAAGTGATCAGTATGCAGGTATGAAATACTGCTTGAGCTAATAAGAAATTTGTCTCACAAATTTGTCAGAATGCTTTGAAGGGGTCAAGTGACCCTGTAGATGCGAATGATTTGGTTGCTTGAGTGTAGTTGGATTTTCATAATCTCTTAAGACCCTCCTTTAAAGGCTCTTAATTACAGCTTGGGCAAGGATAGAGAGAGGTTGTCTACTGCATTAGTATCTGGCTGATACAGGAAATGGGGGATAGGAGTAATGTGTATGACACTTGCCATCTTTGCCTGGATCATTCTGCTGTTTCATCTGACAGTAGTAGTTTATTGGTAGCTCTTTATTTAAAAAGAGGTCGGTGTTCATCCTACTGTGGAGCTGAAGAGACTGAAATTCATAGCTCAGATGGCTTTCAGATGGCTTCAGCATGCACAACTGCTTAAGTTATATCTACCTGGCTATATATGTGGAGTGTAATTAGGCCCTGACTCTGTTCCTACCTGTAGGACAGTACTGGTAGAGCCTTTTAGTTTCATGCTACTACAAGCTTAGCTGAAGCCACCACCGTTTCCAGCAAGTTGGCAGATAAGTAGCTGATGTAAATCATCTCCTCTAACAAGCCATTTAAAATTCTTTCTGTTTAAGGTTTGTTTGCAGTAGTTTCATGTCCTTCAAATATTTTAGGTTCGACAAAAAAAAAAAAAAGGGGGGGGGGGGTTCCATTGCTCTTTATGTATCGCTTCTTGCTGAGTGTTAGATTCTAAAGAGGGAGGAGAATGTGTACACAAGAAAGGATATTACAGCTTAAACAGAATTTAAATTCTAATTGAACGCTATAGTCCTAGTGCACGGGAATAATTTAATGTACGAGTCTTACACAATCGCAGCCGTTTAATAGAGGATCCTGTATTCTATTCAGTACAGCCATCTGGAGTCGTGTCTCTTTCAATATCTATGTCTTTATCTCAGTGCATGTAGCTCTTGGCACCCTGAGGAAATAACACTAATACATCAAGTACTTGAACTTGCATGTTTTATTCTAGGATTGCATAGCTGCTTTCTGTGGGTTTCTGCAATAAAACTTAGTGCAGCTCTGAAAATGAAAGGCCTCATCTAAGATGCTTGTCTTGGAGAGCATTTAAAAATCTCAAACTCTTCAAAGTCACAATACTGATAATTGATTAGGTTGCATTGAAAGGCATTAAATTATGGTTACTAATTACTGCTTTCTCGTTTCGTGTGTTCGCTGGGAGAGGTTGGTTTAGTTGGGAGAGGAGAGAGACTGAGCTTAGGGAAGGCCCTTCCATGCGGCTCTGCTTTCGCTTTGCCTTCAAGCACAACTCCTTCAACCTGCTTCCCTGGTGGTTCGTGAGGCACCATGAATAGGTGGGCTCCCTCCCTGGATTCCCATGCGGACAGACAAAAGGGAGAAGAGGAAAGGGTGTTTATTTTTCAGGTTAGATGAGGCAAGTGTTAAGTACCACACTGTAAGTGCTTGTAAGTGGTGGGGAGTGCTGTCCGATCCATAGTGCTACCTGAGCGTTTGCATCTGACGGGCTCCTCCTGATGCAGGTGTTGCAGGTGTACTGGCAGCTCCTCATCTCCTCTGCATTTTCTTGTGCTATATTATGGTAAGGTTTAGGTGTGTTTTTTATTTTGCTGTAAGCTTTGATCTCACCTGTGTGGGTTCGGAAAGGGAGGAGATTTTGAAGTGTTTTTGTATCTTGGCCCAAGGAAAGCTTTAGGTTGTGGGTGTTTTATTACTTTGTTTTGTAGACCCTCTGTTACAAGTATATCTAATATTTGGCTGTTTGATGATAAAAGGGACTGGGATCAGTATTTTCACTGATGTCTCCTAATCCTATTTAGTAATGCCTATAGAAATCTAGGAAAAAAAGAGGAAAGGAGCTAGTGACCTTTCACTGTCACTTTTTTGGGGGTGGGTGGGGGAAACAGCAGTGGGGAGGCTAGGGAGGGAGTTGGATTCCTTATAGCTTCTGAGAAGATACCGCAGTGGCTTTGTTGACTGCAGTAGGAATTAGAAAGCTGCATCAGAAAGATGGATTGTATGCATTAAACCGAAGTAAACTATACTGCAATGTGTAACTAGATTTCTAGGAAGTTATACATTGTGGTGTTTTCTAAAAGAAACACAATTTGCAAGTCTATTTTAAAATCCTCAAAACTGTAAAGTCATAGTTAAGATACGTAACATGTTTTTGTAAGCACTTCGGTACTCAACTCCTCAAAACCTTTACTTCATCAAAAAGCTTCAAATGAGACATCAGGACAATGTGTCTTTAAGACACAAATAATAACAGTTTTAGAAATTGAAGTGGAGATGGCAGGAACAAAGATCTCGAGGCTTTTGACAATAGCTGTGAAAATCCGAATTCTGCCTTACATTTTACCAGATTTCTCTGAACTGCTAAGTCTCAATTATCATTGCAACAGGTGTACTAAAAATTAAATCAATGAGCTTTTTTATTTTATTGAAAATAAGAAAATTCTTGAGCTTTTTTGAATGATTGTCCTTCATGGCTGTAACTGAAGTCTGATGTGGATGCTCATCACATCCAAAGAATGATTGTTCCTCTCTAATCTGGGACATGACGGTATGTGCTATAACTAGCCTTTGCTTTTTCAGATATTTGGCTTACAATTACCCAAACCACAGATCACCACATAATTATGAGGTAACATGAGTTAGCTGATGGGTGAATGCATTCTAAAAGTATCGAGAAAGTGTTAAATAGGGAGAGAAAAAAAAAAAGAGAACTATTTTTCTATCTTCATTCATTTTAAACTTAGGGAGGTGAATTACAGACTCCATCTAAGGCAGCATGTTTAAGTTTTAATGCATATTTCTAGAATTCTACTGCATTCTCTAAAACTAAAAATGAGTTTCCTTCCTATGAAGCTTAAATGTGATATGTAGTGTAATTTTAAATATACTCTGAAGAGCAAAGCCTGGCAACAAACTGTCATGAAATCTATTGCTTGATATTTAAAAGAAAGAAATTACCTAGGTTATAGATCTGGTATAACAACTTCTATTGCTTGATCTCGATTTGGCATAGTTTGCACTTACAAAACTTAAAAAAAAAAACACACAAACAAACAAAAAAACAACCAAAACCCACCTTAAATACAGAAGTAGAAACTCTCCACACATTTGTAATTTTGAACAGGGAATTTTATTGTTTGACCTTTTATGTATGTTTGGATAGAGTTCAGTTTGGTTTGAACGAGTAAAGGTAATTCAGCCCAGGAGAGGGATCTGGCCTAAGTACAGAACACATGTATATTTCGGATCATAACATATGCTGTAATATTGAATGAAAAAAAAAAATGGTCTTAAGTTATGGCAGTTACCCAGTATCAGGTTCTTAGCTAGATATGGAAGGTTTCCTCTTCATCTGATAGTGATAACCTGAAGCTTATTTTTGTTATGTTTAGGTGATAAATGGGCTTTTGGTAGTTGTAATCTTACATGGGTGCAGCGAACATTATAAGAAATGAAACTTGCATCTTCAGAGAAAAGAACGAAAGTGTCCTTGCACAACAGGATTAAACCTTTTATTTTAGTTATTGTTTGAACATTGAGGTTTCTTGTTTGTAAACCCATTATTGAACTCCCTTTCCCTTTGGAGCAAAAGAAACTGTAACAATAGAGAGGAAAAAAAATAACTTGCAGCATGCCTTGCCTTACAGAGTTACACATAGGCAGCTGCAGCTTTCAAGTTTCAATGTGTACTAGCTATATTAAAGTGTATTTTCTTCTCATACTACGTTTAAGTATATTTTTATATTTTAGGTATTTATAATATTTATATAGTTTATAAATATTTTTAAAACCAAGATAAAAATACTCTTTTTTTCTTTTCTTTTCAAAGCTGCCAGCTAATAAAGATGCCTTCCGAAAGACGTGGAACCCTAAGTACACGCTACGCAGTCATTTTGATGGAGTGCGGGCATTAGCTTTTCATCCTATAGAGCCTGTGCTGGTTACAGCCTCTGAGGACCATACTCTAAAACTTTGGAACTTGCAGAAAACGGTTCCTGCCAAAAAGTGAGTGCACAGGTGTACCAACAGTGCTTTGAATGCTTCTGCAATTGGTTAAGCTGTTAAGTTTTAGAGGCTTTCAGTAGGCTTTTTTGTATTGTCTTCCCACCCTCCCCTCAACCTGAAATATCTTTTCCTCTTTCTTTTTCAGGAGTGCCTCATTAGATGTAGAACCTATCTACACATTTAGGGCCCACATGTAAGTGTTTGATGGAATTAATGCTTGATAAATGAATTGCTCTATCTCATGGTTTCATACAGCACTTCTGCTTAAAAGGCGGAAATCTGTTATATTTTCTCAATCATATAGACCAATTCTGTGACACTTTATAAAAAGCAAGTAGTTACTGAGCCCCTGTAATGAAATGCACAGTCCATGATAGAACAAGAGTAGGAAATGGGAAACGTGGGAAGTAGAGTTTGCAGAAGATCATAATGGAATAACTGAGTAAAACCCATGTCTCGAAGACTGTGGGTTTTATGTGCAATCTATAAAGCAGCCTTAAATAGTTTATTTAAGGAAATAAAAATGGTGATATTTAATAGATATTTTTATGTAGCAGGCTGAGAAAAGAAAATACAGATGCAATCGTCACAGGGGAAATTTCCACGCACTGGCTGAAGGCAGAGTGGTGGATGGTTTAACCAATCGTCTCCCTCTTCACCAGCTTTAAATACATATTTCTGTTTCATTCATTTGAGTTTGAAGTCAACAGTCAGCTCCCTTATATTAAACTCTGAGCATGGCCCGTTGATCAGATTAGCTGGCCATCTGTTTTCTGGGACATGGCTTTACAGTACAGGGAAGCCTGGCTGTAGCAGCTGGGTGTCCAAGGGAGTAGATGCTTTGCTTTGCAGTAGCTCTTGAGCTCCTGGATACCTAAAAGAGAGTGAGAAAACAAATGGCTTGGAGTGGTTGGAGCCCCTCGTTTCAGCATAGCTAGCTATTGGATTGGCATAACTGATTTGTAAATACTCAGCTCTTGCAGATGTAGCTGCTGCTGTCTCTGAGAATTAGTTTTTTCACTTTGAATTGCTCGAATTTGGATAGTTTGTTAGATGTGTTAGGAATTCTTTAGTACAGGTTTGTGTATGACTTAGTCTTCATAAAGATTTTAAAGCAATTATATTTACAAGTTTCTTTGCTGTTTAATCAAATTGTAAAATGGATTTAAATTTTTTCATACTATTTCTGGAAGATGAAATTGTTTTCAGAGAAACAGTACTGACTTGCTTTATTGGTTTATTTTCAAAGTAGATAGTCAGCTTTTTACTGCTGTACTGTAGGAACCATCACTAAACTATTTTTCTCTGTGTCTCTCCGTAGTGGACCTGTATTGTCATTGGCAATTAGTTCTAATGGAGAACAGTGTTTTAGTGGTGGTGTGGATGCCACCATTCAGTGGTGGAATATGCCTAGCCCTAATGTGGACCCATATGATACCTATGGTAAGTGTCTTCAACGCTTGAAATAATTCTTTTAAAAGAAAAGGTGTGTTTCCTGGCTCCACGAGAGAAATGTTCTCACTTAGGGTGCTTGAGAGGTTTTGGGCATAGCTTTGGGCATAGCTTTTATGCCGAGAACAAACAGCAGTAGGCAGGCTTCAGTGTTTCAGTAGCTCTGGAACATGGGAAGCTGACTGCTTTAGGGATTTGGAATCAGCTGTAGAGGAAAGGCTGATCAGGCATCTTTAGGATGGTAAATTTGGAGGGAGGAAGCAAATGCTTCTTGGAATCACCCTGGGGCAGGCTGTGTCTTTGCAAATGATATGTGATCTAACTTAGTTTTGGTTGGTTTGGGGGAGTTACCATTTTGGGAGTGAGGGTCTTTTTTCTTCTTTTTAATGTCATTTCAACAAATGACTGGGGGAGCAGCAGTCTGCAAATTTGAGTTGTCAGCAAGCTGATAAAAGTTGACATCTTAGTTCGTTATTGTAGCTAGGTTTGTGCCAGTGGAACTGTTACGTTCTCTAAAACAGTTCTGGGGAATAATAGAGCAATATTATTAATTAAGTGTCGACCTGTTTAAAATTTGCATTGTAGTAGACTAGTCTGCTTGGGAATTAAAGATATATGTAAATAAAGCAAGTTAATGCAGAAGTATGTGAATTAGATCCAATTTTTATTTGCATTCCATTTGCTCCAGAATTCTCATTGACACTGAATGTTTTGGGGGCTAACTCACACTGAATGTTTTGGGGGCTAACTCTTTTTTCTTGCTGGTATTTTAGAATAGGGGGTTACAATTAACTGGTTAGGTCACAGATGCGCAAAATGTTAGGCAAATAATGAATATTGTAATATATGAGAACTGCTTTATGTGATACTTAAGAAATACTAATTTAAGTTTTGTTCATTAAAAAGATTTTCCTTTTTAACTTCTTTTTCCAGAGCCAAACGTTCTAGCTGGCACATTAATTGCTCACACAGATGCAGTGTGGGGTCTTGCTTACAGTGGTATAAAGAATCACTTACTATCTTGTTCAGCAGATGGCACTATTAGATTATGGAATCCACCAGAAAAAATGCCCTGTATTTGCACTTACAATGGAGAGAAAGGTAAGCTTTAACTTTTTAACTTAAGCAGTTAAGTGTTTGTTTTGAAAATCTGTTATGACGCAGCTGACAGAGTCTCAAAACTAGTTAACAGTACCAAGTGTAAAAGATCCTTTAAAGGGACAATCCTGGTGTTGCAGCTCTACCCTAAAAGGTGCAGCTAATTTCTTCAGTAATGTAGAAGTATAAAAATATTTAAATCTGTTAAGAATTTCAAAAGTATTTTAGTCATTCTTAAAGCTTTTTTTCTCCCTGCTTTTTAGAGCATGGAATACCTACATCGGTTGACTTTATAGGTTGTGACCCTGCTCATATGGTTACATCTTTTAACACTGGCAGCACAGTCATTTATGATTTAGAAACATCACAGTCTGTTGTAATGCTATCATCACAGATAGAATCTGGTAAGCGAAGCCTTACATTTTAAATATCTATCTTAGGTGGAGTACATTTATCCAAACTTTATTTTAGATAATTAAAGTGCTTTTTAATGAAACTTTAGTAAATGTAAATAAGGTAAAGGGTATTGATAAATAGATCTCCTTTTGGCTTTTTATCCTTCCTTTAAGACAGATAAAAATCCGTATTTGTTTACTTTCAGGTGTACAATCAAATAACCATATTAACAGGGTAGTAAGTCATCCCACGCTTCCTGTAACTATTACAGCTCATGAAGATAGACACATCAAATTTTTTGACAATAAAACAGGTAAGGCTAAAGAACCTGATTTTCATGTTCAAAATAAATATGTTAAAAAATAAATATATTTAAAGAAAATCTGAATGGTCACAGGGAGAATGCATTGTTCAAAACTTACCGTTGGTCAAGACTTTGATTTATCACTGTAGTTTTACATAGGTATCACTCCTGCCAGAAAGTACACTCTCAAAACAAGCAAAGATGATTGAGGGACAAGAAGGTCCTCTTAAATTAGACAAGTGCAAATTTACAAAATACTTCTGACTTTTCTTTTCTAGCCTTCACAATTCCCATTCTTTTAACTCTTAAGTATGTATCAGTTATGTTTTCAGACTGTCAGTAGTAAAGACCATTTCATGTTTTGGTCAAAGAATGGCTTTCAATTCATTTTAGACATAGAAGCTCATGTTAAACTTGAGTAGCTAATTAAATTTATAAAACAGAAGCAGTTCTGGAAAAGAGAAACTGAAAAAAGTGCATAGGGAAAAATGCACAGCCTATCATGACCAAAGCTGGAATATTAAGAACATCAGCTTTCTATGTTCATGAGTCACCTCCTGCATGCTATGCTGGCATAGTTTGTTAAAGTCTTTAAGTACTTCGTAAGAACATCTACACCAACTCACCTTCTGGGCATTTTGTTTGTTTAGTAAAAAGGCCAGGCACTATTTTATCACTTCTAACTTGCCATAAATGTGCATGCATTTGGATTGTGACCGCTTTGAAGTGTTTAAAATTATTACCAATGTCTTTTTGGTAATAAACGATGATTCCTCTGTATTGATCAGTAGTGGATTGGGGTCCTGGACTGATCAGTAGTGGATGATGTTCAACACACTGGGCAGGATATATTATGTTGGCAGTTTACTTATGTTCCTTCACTTGGGTTAGTAAAGGTGAAGGCTGACTGTGAAGATTTGTAGATCTTAATAGACTGAGAGTTTAATTTAATTCAGAGTAGATACATGTAATCAATGCATAGGTGGGAAAAAGAAACTTCATAAACACTGAGCCTACTGTTGCTAGTTAAGAAAAGACCTTGGAGCTTTAAGAAAAGGATGAAAAAGTCTGTTAAGTACTTTTTCACAAAAGGAAAATTAATGTGAATGTTAGGGAATAAAGGAATAAGCAGAAGAATCACTGTTAATGCCATTTGAATGAATTCTGGGTGTTTCTACATACATGCTCTTTGTTTTAAAAAATAGTCACAACAAAATGGTCAAGTTTTTTTTAAAAGGATCAGAGATCCTCAGTAGCTTCTAGAGGAGAAATGACTGAAGACGCTTAAGACTCTTAAGTAAAGATACAACCAAGAAGATGTTGGTCATAGTTTTATAACATTTGTTACTAGTTGTGTTTTCCAGCATTACGCCTGAGGTTCAGGTGACACCCCCAACAAGTGACAGGCTCAAAAGCAGCAAGAGGTGGTTCTTCAAATAATGTGCATCTAAGCTTTGGAGCTCATTGTCATAAAATGCTAAGGAGTAGTATAGGTTCCAGGAAAAAATGGGAAGATCACTGAAAAGAAGTGCATTAAGAGTGTTGAATGAAGAGATAGCCTTTCTTGTTCAGGAAAGAATCAAACTGTAAATTATTAGAAGCTAGAGAATATTTTAGGCAGGTGTCACTTACAGTTACGCCGCTTTGATTTCTGCTCTGGTCATTGACTAATCACTGCTCTCACCAGTGCTAAGTTAATTTGGCCCTTTCGTATGACTCAGTAAATCTGCTTTTGTGAGTCTTGTCAACACTGCAGTCTAGTGGGCAGATCACGGGACCTTTAATGGACGAAGAATTCGGGTCGTTGCCCAGTCATTTTAGGATCGATTCTGGTGTTCTTGCTACAGTTGACAGGCTGCTTGGATTAAGAGTGTTTATAATGTGAAGGCCTTTTTGAAAGTTATGTCATTTATTTGTTTATACAGGAACCCACAGCTGAAACTTATTAAATTATAATAGAGTTGCAGCATTAGAATATCCTTGGAATCTAAGTAACTGTGTTATTCTATATTGCACTGAACATTTAATGTGAGTATTATTTTTAAATTGTTCTTCCCAGGAAATTCACTATTTATTTTGCTTTTAGGTAAAATGATCCATTCTATGGTTGCGCACTTGGATGCTGTCACAAGTCTAGCTGTAGATCCTAATGGAATCTATTTAATGTCTGGAAGTAAGAGTTTTGTGTTTTTCGCTTCCCCGCCCCCCCTTCCTTCTTCTGTGTGCTGTATAGATTTTGCTTTAATAGTGCATTAATGTGTCTTTAAAAAATAAAAATTTTGCCTTTTTTTTCCCCCCCTCTCTCTACACAGGCCATGATTGTTCCATTAGATTATGGAATTTGGACAGCAAGACATGTGTGCAAGAAATAACAGCTCATAGGAAAAAGCTGGATGAATCCATTTACGATGTAGCATTTCATCCATCAAAAGCATATATTGCCAGTGCAGGAGCTGATGCCCTTGCCAAAGTGTTTGTGTGACATAGCAGAACCAGCCTGCAGCATAATAGCAGGTCTGTTTGGACAAAAAAGAGGGAATGCGTCACTGCCATCAATGATAAGGTTACCAATAAGACACTACATCTGATCTGCCTGGGTGAAGGCTCTTATGTGGGGCAGGTTTAAGTTGGTGAAAAGTCACCACGTCTTGAATAACGTCAGGCTCATTCATTTAACTGTAATTACTGTATTTGGGGGGGTGGGGCAAATTAAAAACAGAAAAAAAAACAAAAATAGAAAAACAGTATTTGTAGCCTTGACTGGATATGAACTGAGCGTATGTCTGTTCTTTAGGTGTCTTTAAGCAAACGTGGAGTCTGATTTTACAAAAGACTTTTATTTTGGACTCTGTGTGCTGCCTTAGGGTTAGGAATGTGGTGCTCTTGTGGGGGGAAGTGAGCTCCAAGAGTAGCTTTCTTTTCATCTCTTAGTAATCTTCTGTTTATCAGTTGAATGCCACAGATTCCCCTTTTAAACTTTTATTTTGCTTTAAAGAAAAGGAAATTTAACTTAAAATATTTTAGCATTAGTTGCACAAAACGTTTGGATAAAATTCTAGTTTTTATAAGTCTTTTTATATATTTAGCCTGTCACAACAGTGCTCAAGATTGTATTGATAATGTTTTTCTGCATTATAGAACCCTAAAACACAGAGATCTCACTGACCCGCTGCCGTGTAACCACACTCTTCCCTTCTTTTGCCTAATACAGCTCAGCTAAGTCCTTGCATAAGGATGCTAGTTCATCATCATCGCATAACTGTCTTCATAAATAAAGGACTGTAAAGCGTGTTCAAATGAAACACAGAGGGGTTAACACCCCCGATGAACTCTTAAAAATAAAAAAAAATAATCTTGGCATCCTATCACTATGTGATATTTTGTACATCTTACTGTATTTACGAGTTTATTTATCAAGGATTACCCATCTTGCTAATGGCCTATTGTTATTTATTTCACTTTTTGTTGGTCTTTATATCCTTTTATGTAGTGTGTTAAAGGGCCCTGTATATCTATTATGGCACTCTTTGAACAGTCTAAAATAGACAAAAACGGGACATTTCATAATTCTAAAGTTGCAAACCAAGAATTTCTGTTTTTCCTCTGGTTAAGTACTGGAGTGGATTTGATTCCAAAAAACAATCTTGTTTCAGAACTTTTGGAGTGAAAAATATTTTTATTTGCGTTTCAAATAGAATACAAAAGTAGTTGATTCAAGATTCATAAATCTGCTGTGTTTGGAATAGTTATTCCCTGCTTTTATTTTATTTTCAGATGTGCTTCAGTTTATGGTGTAACTAAAGATTTTGTTTGTGTAATGCATGATTAATACAATAAAGTATTTTTTCTAGTCTTCCACAAAACTTTTCTGATCAGTTTGCGAGTTTTGATGAGTTTTGTAAGGTTTCTGTTTTACAAACTATGAATCAGCAAATTTTTAAGATTGTACCACATAGCAAAAGTACAGCTGTTGAAAAATAATGTATATAAAATGCATATAATAAATATTAAATGGTGTACCTGTATGTTACTGTTGGCTACATTATTTTGTATTGCACAGTTTAAAAGTGTCATTCTACAAGTTACCAAATGAGGTCTAAATTAATCATAGCAAAATGGTCATTTGTTTATTATACTTACAAGCTGCTTTGCTTTTGGAAAATTGTAATGGATGTCTGGATGTCAAAAAACTGTTTAGTTTAAAGCAGCAATACCCACATATAAGAACATGTTTCCACAATATTTTAAAACCTCTTCTTTACAAGAACAACTTGAAAATTGCTGATGTATTTATAGAGCCTTTTTAGAAAGGTAATCACAGTGATTTTCAGATACCTGTGTATATGAGGCAATTGTCAAGTGAGTTAGGACCCAAAAAGGTTGCCCTCATTTTGAACTGTTATTGGCTCATTGTTTTGAATCTAGAAATATTCATTTTTATATGCTTAAAAATTGTCTGTGTGTTAAATGTGCTCTATCAACCTTTATCCATTTATTTATGAGAATTTCTTCTGCATTAAAGATGTGTAAGAATTGCGGCGTTTTTGGAAAAGACAAAGCTATAGGTTACTGTTTAGCAACTACTTGTGATGAGCCACTCTTCCTGAGAGCATATCAGCAGAAACAGAATACTGCAATGAGTCTTAGGTTTTCATGCAAAATTAGTCTTTATGAGTAAGTTACCATAATCTGGAACATGTTCCTGTAAGTGGTTCAAACTGTATTGTTCCACGTGAGTTTCCAGTTTAGCAGTGAGAATGTATCTCATGTCATCTCATGTCAAGCAAATTAGACTTTTTTAAAAAAGGAGGGAGAGAGGGAGAGTTCATGCCCAGGGTAGACTGAATACTGCAGTTATATTCTGAAATGAATTTTGTTTTAGTAATGATATTACATCATCTTAAATGTGGTACAGGAAATTTTGATTGTATAGAAATTAGAAAATTTTTCCCTTACCATGAAGATCAAGGTGAGGCCTTTCACTAATTACTTGTAGGACACTAAGACTTTACTTCTTCTTTTAAAAGTAACATTCAGCTGACTTGCACTTTCATTCTTTCCCGTCTAAAGCCTTCAACTAATCAACAGGCAAGAGAGTGTATTTGAATTTTATTGGAAGTAATTTCATAACTGCCTTTTCTGAAGCCAAACTTTGTTTCTGGCAGCTTTTCCAGACTGCTACATTTTAATGCTTAAATGAAATGTGATTGTTTAATAAACATTGCCATGCATAACATTTACCTTTTTTTGGAATTGTATTAAAATTGAAATGGAAAAAACAAAAATACTTGCTTATTTTCCTTAATTGAAATCTCATGGTTATTTAGTGCCCTCATACACAGTGGATCAAATGCTTTAGCTAGGCTTCAATTACTGAGCTTTGACAACAATCTCAGTTTACTTTAGTGTGGTGTATATCCTCTGCTTCTTTCGAAGAGCTGTAAACTAGTGGTAAAAAAATGGATCTTCTTTAGACTGTTTAAAAACATGGAAGGACTGATTTCCTCCTGTTGCCTAAGGGACTTGTATTTGAAACCTGAATGTAAAGCTAAGTATGTATGTATGATTGCTACTGTTCTTAGAGCACGAGCAGTGCAGCAGGCTGCCTGCTGTGCTTGCTTGGATTGCAGGGGCTGCGGCAGCTACCGCTGTGTGAGCAGCAGGTCTGCAGCATGTGCTCCAGCTGGAGGAAGGACCAGCGAGGCGCTCTTTACTAATGGCAAATGGTTCTGTTTCATGTTCCCCAGCAGGGATCTAAGCTATTGACATGGGATTCCTCACTAACGATAACATTAACATCTTTAAAATATCCAGCTGAGATACTAAGAAGTTTTAACTGTTCAGCTGCATGGAACTGTCTTCAATGGCGTGGAGAGTATCTGCAGTGTTGTGTTGATCAATGTGTGCTGTGAACAGTTTTCCCTCCTTTTAAAATTGGCTCAAATAAATGGGTTTTCTACAGGATTAATCCCTCTCTAAAGGACTGGTGCTGTAAGTCTTTATGTAAATTCTTAAAACTAGGAGACTGTAGCTGTCAAGTTAATAGTGAATTTACCCTAACTGAAGATAGGGAGATAGCTGCCGTGTGGCTTAAATGTCTTTATTTAAACTGAGTTTTGATAGCAGCTGATCTCTTTGAAGTCCAAATGGACTCCAAATCCTTTGAAAAGTGATTTTTTTTAAGTGACTTTTACATAGTTTGTGAATTTGCTCATTTTATTGTAAATAAATCTATCATAAGATATATAGTCCCTTAAAGCAGAATATTTACCTTCAAAAAGGCACTGGACACCTTAAACTAGATGTTTCATTTGCTACATCAGAAGCATTTGCGTCTGCACTATCTTGGTTATACCAAGGAGCCCGTTCAGCAGAAGGGAGAAGATTCTGCAGTACGTTCTCCATGCATATTTACTTTTGGCCTCGTGATGCATGCACACACACCACCACCAAAACAACAACAAATGCCATCCATTATTCTTCGTAAACAGTTTTTCAACATAAGTGAGACGCTTTTACAGCTGCATATTTTTATAGTACCATGCTACAGCATGCTAGTCAAGCTTAAGCCTTGCCTCTGCCTTAGCTTATAAATAAATAAACGCCCTCTCCCGCGCAGGTGCCTTGGGTGCTGCCCCAGGTCAACGGCCGCTCTGAGCCCGCGCGCGAGCGCTCTAACGGTCGCTCTAACGGCCGCCGGCGCGTGCTGGGGGCTGCGCTCCCGCGTGCAGCGCAGCGCTGCAGCCTGGCGGGGGCGGAGGGGACTCGGGGGCCGAGGACGAGCGGCAAGCGGTGAGTAGCGAGGGCGAACGGGAAGCTCCGTAGCGCCGCCCGCTGTCTGAATTCAGTTTGGATTTTAAAATCCCCCCAGGGAAGGGCGCCGTTGTCCCTGGGCCGCCGCGGCGGCGATACCGGCGCGCCTGCTGGGAGCTGCCGCTTGTTTGTTGCGGATAGCGCGTGGGTTGTGGAGGCTGGGCGGTACGGAGAGGGGCCGGAGCCGCTGGTGCTGCCCGGCTGCGCCCAGGGGCTCCTCCAGCCGAGCCGGAGAGTTGCGGCGATTTGATCTTTCCGTCTGCGATCGACTGACCGCTGGCTAAAAGGGGTTGCGTAGTGCCAGTAGTTTCTTGTTGGTTGCAGCGATTAAAAGAAAAATAGATTTGTTTCCTATTTAGATTTGTTTCCTATTATTTCAGAGGTTTTTTTCTCAGCTGCAGCTTTTCAATATCTTGAAATAGGTGGCTTTCTTTTTGTTGCTTTTAGTAAATGTGTGTTTTTGCTTTGTTTTGCTTTGTTTTTCCTGTTTAAACTTGTGTGAGGAGAAGGCACCCCAGTTTATAAGGGGCATTTAAAACCCGCACCTCTGTCACCCTTGCATCTTGATGGGCGTAAAGAGCCGGCCCAGGCAGGAGGCAAGGAAGCTGCTGGTGGTGTCCCAGTGTTCCCAGGACGGAGTGGCTGCTCCCGATGGTGATTGCTGGTGGCAGGGATGCAAACGCAGAAGCTCCTGCAGGTACCCTGAGCACAGCTGTTTTCTGCCCAAAGTGGCAATATGTGGATGCTTGTGCTATGGCTCTATTTTGCGAGATATCTGATACTCCTGAGAATTGTGTGTGACCTTAGGTTCACCCCCTGGATTGCCTGCGTTGGAGTTTTTCTGTGTTACTTAATAGTAACATTGCATGTTGATGACTAGCACATTTCTTTAAATAACATTCACTATTACTGTATTGAAACTAGTTCTTCACGTAATATGAGCTATAGTTTAGCTTCCTGAATTACCCTTTTGCTTTTGATAACTCAGCTGACTGATTCCATCCCTCAATCCAAAAAAATAGTAGTTTGTTGTTAAGATGATTTAGCTAATATTTAGGGGGGGTTGTTTGTTTTTCTATATAAAAATAAGTTTCTTAAGGACCAGCGATATTTCCAGCAGTCTCTGGGGGTTTAATATAGGACTGTTTCCATATGGCATATTCAGTACTTCTGCTAGAAACTTTTTTTTTCAGCAGTTATTTGTGTTAAAAGAGGCAATTGGATGTGGTTTTCTTTGAATTGTATCTCATCTGTACCTAGATCTGAGTAAATCAGATCATTGGTGAGCAGTGTCTTTGTTCGTGTTTCCAGTACTAGCGTGCCACACCAGCCAGTTCTGTTATGTTGCTCAGCTGGCTCCTTCTTGCGACTGGAATTAGGAGTTCAGCACAACAAAGTTGTGTATTTTGTCTGATTTACAGTATTGAGATGGGAGAAAGTTTCTGTCTCTCTCTCTTGTTCTTGAGTAAATGAATAATATACTATGTGAGAAGTGTCAGAGACATCCTAAAATCGCTTATTTCTGAATTTGATTTTGTTTTAAAACAAAAAGATTTTTACGGTGTAGTATGTTTGATTTTGTGTTTAATGAACATTTAAAGTCATAGTAAATTAGTAGATGATTGTTTCCCCCCGTAATTCAAGTTATTTCATTCCTAAACTTTGCCAGTCTTTGCTCTGACTTCTGACTGTGTAGTCTTTTACTTGTATTCTTTGGCAGAAAATTGTCTGTCATCTTTGTAATCTGATCACATTCACCAGGGCAGAAAAATACTTTTTATCCATTTGTGTATATTCTACCATAGCCTGATTACTGTTAAGTAGTAAAGGCCATATCTATCCTCAGTGGAAGCTGGGAAAACATTTAATGAGCATTTGCAAACAAGGCCAGCAATGCTGGATTCTCATGCCCGGCTTTTAGGGGCTGATCCAGGGTGAAGTTCAGCTGTAAATTCAGCTATGTTCTGTGAGAGCGCGGTGCTCAAGGCGGCTGGCTTCCAGGAAAGTGCCCGAGGGGTGTTGTGACACTTCTTTGCAGCAAAGCAGCACTGCTACCTGCTCCTTTTGGGTTGTAGTAAACACCTTGTTTCTTCAGGAGGCTTATCTCTAGTTCTTGAAGGTAGCTCGAATTTAGGCATGAGATATGTGCCAAACTGTACAAACTGGGGCAGTTTTTGCCTGTGTCCAGGAGCTGAATGTTACATTGCTTTGTAGTACTGCCCTGTGCTGGACTCAAAGAGCTCATTCTGACAAAGCCCTGGATGTGCCCTGCGGCTGCCGCTCTCTCCTGCCAAAGTTGCCCTGACAGTCATCCACCCCAGAGCCAGTGCCCTTCCTCACATCATCCACTGCTTCCTGTTGGTCAGCAGCACTCCAAATAAATGGAATGACACCTAACTCTTACTTTTCTTTGAATTGCCTTGAGGTAGCTGTTTCTGTGGTACAGAAACATACTTGTTCTATTTAGGGTTTTCTTCTGTATAGCTGAAATGTTTTACAAAGGTAGTAAATACCTTTGTTTCCTTGGTAGTGGAACAATTACTGATTTGCTGAAGATTACCTAGCAAACCACTGTCAAAACAAAGGATAGAACATCCAGTAAGCTATTACATCAGCACTTTTATCACAGGCACTGAAAAATACTGACATATCTTCATCTCTCAGTGAAAATGCAGGTCCTAGATTAACTAACACACAAAACGTAAGGGTTCTGACAGCAAAAATCTATTTCTAGATTGATACCTAAATTTATTTTCAATGTTTACAATATGTTCCCTCATGCTGCCTAATTATTGGTTAGTGAAGAATTTCTATGTATTGAAAGTAATATCTGGCAATAGCACTACTATTTTCCTTGCTGTGTCAGAGTTTGTTATGAGGAGATGGCTAGAGCTCAACTAACTCTGCTAAGATTTGCATTTCTGGGATGTAAAGAAGTGCAGTAAATACACAGCATTCATTTCTATTTAGGCACAAGTAAATGTAAATAAATTTTAGAGTAATAAAAACCCTTACTAAAATAAATACCCTTCAGGCAAAGAAATTGGCTCATGATCAACAACACCTCACTAACAAAACGTGGTTGTTTGAAAGAAAATTTTGATTCTAATGAGATTAAACGTATAGTGGGCAGTTTTCCTGAAACAAGCAATTAAACCTTTAGCCTGCCAGTTTTCGGGACCAATTGTTCCTTCAGCTGAAGCCAGAGGTAAAGTTCCTGCCAAAGCCAAAGAGAACAGAGAATGTCTGCACCAACTGATGGGCATCCATAACTGGAAAAACTACTCATAGTTAAATTGCAGGCTGTTCAGTGGGAGCTGCCATATACTTCATGTCTATATTTGAAGGGCAGTCGCTTTTAAGCTGTTCAAGCGTTTTCTACCTCTGCTTCTCAGAAAAACAACAGTATTTACTGTCCAAGGTCCAAACCAATGCCAGACTGATTTATTCTGTTCGGGTGGAGAATCCAAGTCTCTCTAGTTCCAGATAGTTTTCCAAAGAAGACCAACTTGAACTTACACCAGCATAGCCAGGCCTTCTGTGTTACGTGAGCACACGTGAGAGACATTTTCTGTCAGTATTATGGCTTCAATGCTTTCTGAAGCTGTTTCCTTTGAGCCAAATTAAAGGAAGGAAAGTATTGGAGGGAAAAAAAAAACCACACAGAATTACTGTCTTTAGAAAGCAGTGACTTTGGTAGAGTTTGGTAAACACAGTGATTTGTCCCACTAAAAAAACAGTGGCCTAAAATCAGGGCTTAAAATGTTGCCATCACTTCTGTTTTTCAGGACAGAGATGTAAATACAATATTTGCATTGTATGGGGACATAGTAGAAGAGAAGATATATGTGACAACACTAATATGAAATGCAAACAGCAGTAATTAAGAACAGCTGCCAAACCTATTGTTTTGATGAAACTATTGTTCTTCCTATGTGCCAATCCTCCCCTGCTCCTCTTTCCCCCTGCCCTCCCAAATGGTATGTTAGTTACAAAGAAGTACAGTTTACTTTTGATTGAAATATTTTCTTGGTTATTACATAACTCCTCTTGAACGTAGGAGTTTGTTGAGTAGGAACTTCTTTTTTTCTTCTTCCTCAATTCAAGGATTAAAGCTAGTATAGAGTAAAGCAAAGATCACATAAACCTAACTTATTCAAGCTGCTACTTAGGAATCATCATTAAAAAACTTTTACATCACAGCATATTAAAATAGCTGCAATTCCAGCTTTCTTGCAGTGTGTATACTTCTGTAAAAGGTTTTAGTTCAATGAATTACATTTTTGCACAAACTTGATATTGCATATGAATTTATACAGCAATACTGAATACTGTATCTATAAACACATAACAAAATTAAGGTTAGCATTCGATAGAAAAATACACGGCATCCTCAACATTCATGTTTAGTGTAATATATAGCCAGTCATAAGTTATTAAAAATACACTACAAAAGCCTGATAAATATGATCCCTTCTTTACCATTCACAACTACTGAGAATTTTACAATCAATATCACAAAAAATGCAACCAAAGAAAACCTTCCATTGGTAACTGAATGGGAAAGTGCTGCTTTGTTTACTACTGTATATTTTACTTGCAAAAAAAAATTTAAAATACATAAATTTAAGTCCATTATTCTCTCTCTAACTCAGTGAATTACTGCATCATTTTAACCACATACAAACTGATGTAAAAATATCAACCCATTACCAGGTATATGTAAAGCTTTTTCAAGAAAACTGTTTTTGTCATCTTCAGAAAACTTCACACATATTTAGAAAGGTTTTTACTAGCATTAGAAAATTGTTATTCTGAGTTACTGATTCCCACCTATGTCTCTGCCTACTTTTTTGTCTTCTTGGCATCTAAGTAATCAGATACAAACCAGTTAAATTTCAAGGCTTAAGATAATTTTGGATTTCAATTTAAATGCTTTTGAGTTTCCAGTACACATCCTAATTTAATCTTTGCCTAAAATCCTTGTCTTGAACTTTGTCTATCCAATAGCAACTTTGTAAAATCAAGGCAATAGAAAGAAAAAAATCCAGATTATCAAGCAGCAATATCCTGCTACTGGTTTCGTTGTGGCATAGCAGGCAGTAGTATCAATCAATATATTAGGACCCAGATTATATATATATAAAAAAAAAACTTCAGTGCTTAAATACCCTTGAAAGTGTGTGCGTCTGTGCCAAAAGTACCCAACAGCACTGATTGGTAGAAATAGGTAGAAGTGAGATGGCCTTTTAATGTAAATTCTGCCAAGCCAGATAGCATTCTTACTCAAAATAGCAAATTCTCACTGGTAAAAACGGTCTAGCTACATCTGTCATACATCTTCTTAATAAACTGCCTGGCAGTAGAGGATGCTGCATGATTGAAGGACTAGAAAGGTCTTGGCTATTATCCCATGGCTGGTGTTATAGTCCTACTACCAAGAGAACTCCTAGAAAAGATAGTGAGCTACAGAAGGCTTATAGAAGTTAGTGCTGTGTATTTAAAATTGTATTAATTTTAACACATGAGAAGACAAATTGTAAGTGACAGTGCAAGTTTCAGAGCTCTATTATGTTTTCTTTATATACATACAGCTGATATCTGATAGCCTAAAGTGTAAGAAAGATACTATACAGGTATTGAAAATAATAATTTTTAGCCAAATTCTGCATTCCCATGTCAAGTGCCACTTCTAATGAGCTTGCGAGAATCCTTGATTGACCACAGAAACAGAATGTAGCCTGTCATAACTTATTCCCTTATATTATGTTGGTATATTATAAGAATAAAACATTTGTACTTTAGAGGGACCAACTCAGTTTCCTGATTTTAGTTTCAAATAAGTCATATCCAAGAGCATTTTTCCATTATTGTTTAGAGTCCAAGAAATCTCTACAGATGCCTCTGATAACATCAGGAACCATTTGCTCCAATCCCGTAAACTCCCTAGTGAAGAAAGTATGAGATTCTCTTGGTTCAGATGCCATGTCTTTCAAATCATCCACAGGTGCCCAGGCAACACCAACAGAGAAGACTGTAATTCCTACAATGTGATAGTAAAGTAAGAACAATTCATAAGGTCATTTTGTCTATGGAAACAAGAAAAACGTCGTCTTAGATTGCATTCATGAATTATTTCAGACTAAAAAAAAATGTGTTTTAATACCTGCAGTTTATCAAAGATAATTAGATTTTGCCACTAAACATCAGGAATTAGAAGAATTTTTCATGGTGTCAGTAAGACAGTATCTTAAGGGCTAATATCTTAGTTTTTATAGTGATACACAAGTGTAATGTTATAGTCTGTCTGGAAACACAAGCAGCACTGGCTTAGTTGTAGAATAATTTAGAAATAAATCTAGGTCATTTGTATGTTCAGTGCTTACAAGTGTCAGCAACCTCAGGAGTTTTTCAGTCCTAACTGCTTATTTCCTTCCTCAATGATGGGGAGCAAGAGTGAGATAATACTGAAGCTACCATGAGTAAATCTACTTATACCTGGTTCCATATCACTTGTTTTTTTTATCCTAATGAAAAACAGTTCCTCACAGCTTATGTGTTTCTGAATCTAAAATAACTATAATACCTGACTAACTCACTGGGGTAGTATCTGCAAACTTGTTTAAAATCTTGATATTTACAATACAGAAGAAATAAGGTAACTGTCTTCAAAGATATATCATTTACCTGCTTTTTGTGCTGCAGCCGCAGGCCCTCTAACATCATCATAAGACTGACCATCAGTCAAAACAATAAGGAAATTCTTGTTGGGTCCATCTTTCATTGGCCCAAATACACTTCTTGTGGTGAAAGAAATGGCATCACCAGTAGCAGTGCCACCACTCATGTATCGGATGTTCTGGATAGCAGAGAGCACCTTTTCTTTTGTGATGTAGTCGGTGAAGCCAAACTCAGTACGTTGATCATATGTGAACTGCACAGTTGCAATCTTGGAACCAATATCAGAGATCTCGAAAGCTTTTGCAACATTACTGATGAATTCAAGCATAAGGCGGAAGTTGCTGTCTCCAACGCTGCTAGAACCATCTATTAGAAAAGCTATGTTGACAGAATTGTAGCACGTCTTGCTACACAGCATTTGCTCATGTGAACATAGTTTTTGGGCAAGAGGTTTTACGTATTTGGTAGTACCAAACCAAGTGGGCATTTGGTAAGAGAAGAAGCCATTATTTCGACAGACAGCCTATTTAAAAATAAAAAGTCAAAAAGTAAATACACATCTACTGTATGCATAATTAAGACATTTATGTGATTTGTCTTTCAAAGATAAGAATTGTGGCCTGATTATTGGGGGAAAGAAGGAAATTATTCCTTTAGGAAAAAAATACAAAAAAATCTCCAGTTGAGATCAGTAGAAGTTGTCTCAGATTGCCTTATATTCAATAACTGAGTTAGCCCTCTAGATCCTGAAATTTCAAAGACTTTTGTGTTATTCTTAAAGGGTAAGAACTGGAAATTGTAATCACATTTTTGAAAGTGACCCAAGTCATGACTACTGAATATCTAAAGGATTTCAAGTTCTGTATTTTTATTTACTTGCTAAAACTTAGGCTTCTGTACTTTACATTTTAACTCGCAAGAACTTTTTAAAAAATCTATAATATGCCATATACATATAGTTGGCTTGAAGTCTAGTCCACAACATCCAAAGTACAATTTCCTTTTCCCCAGTTTTCCATAGGGTGATTGTATAATGCTAAGTAACCAGGAAAGGGATTCTTAAGAGTCAGCTATCTAAGATGATCTCCGATCTCCTTAAGATCAAAATGCAGAAGGGAAGGGCAAGCCTCAGTCACATCTTTCAGTGCTTACAAGTGTCTAAAAGAGTCAAATGTGCCCTTAATAACCCTGGGATCGGAAGTGAGCCATCTTGTGTCTTGGAGCAATAGAGTGCGCTGTAGCACTTCTATTCATGCTCTGAGCTATGATGAACTTTCTAAACCTTTCCTGTGAGAGATTTTCTCACTCAAAATTAAGTAATTACCTAAGGCTTAAAAATTCCCATGGAAGTAGAAAACCTGTGCTAATCTTCCTGCTCCAATGTGTACAGAGCAAGATCCATAACTCCTCATCCAAGACAAATGCTGTGTCTGTTAACAGGCTCTACTAGGATGTGTTTTGCAATCTTTCATGTCTCTGCAATAAAAGTAAATAATCCTCCAGAGAGCCGCTACTGAAACATATGTTTCCCTGTCTGCCATTTCGGAATTGGAGGTCAGGTACCTGCACTTTGCTTTGACACATTCAACCATTCTGAATATAGCCGATTTCCTATCCTGAGAATCATCCTGTAATTACAGGATCCAAGGACTTTAACTTGGCCAAGGCTCTGAACTGTGAGGACAGTGAGAGTTTTTTGGTGTAATATTTCTGTGGGCCACTTAGCTGAGAGAAAAACCCTACAGTGGCAGCATACAATTTAATGATATTAAACTGTTAAACTTTTCTAAAAATTGCAGTCCCAATATTTTAGACTTGCTATTTATTTTTTTATATATCACTTAATAGCAGGAATATTTTTTAACTATTAGGAGATTATATATATATTATATATATATTACATACATTATATACATCTATCTACATATATATCTATATATGCACACATACATATGTAAGAATTAGTTCATTAGAACTTTAGGTGGAAGTACATTCTCTAGGCTCATATCTATGATTGGAAAATGGATAATGATATTCTCTTACTTTGTCAACAAAAGCAATGTCTTGCACCATTCCCAGCTCCTCCGTTGTGGGTTTTGCTACAGAGACAATGAATACATTGACCCCAAATTCTCTGGCCACTATACCAGCTTCTTCTATATCATCAGAAGGCCAACCATCTATGAACACCACAATGATTTTGGGAATTCCTTTACGTGCTCCATTTTCAAAAGAGAAGAATTTTTGAGCAGTGTACTTCAAAGCTTTCCCTAATTAAAAAAAAAAAAAAGAAAAAGAAAAAAAGAAGAATAGGAAGACATACTGTGATTATATTTCAGTACCAATTCCGCACCATTACAATGAAGTTGTGCTGGATTTTACTCTTTTATGCAATATGAAAAATTAGATGATTGGTAAATGAACTGAAGCACTGTAGAATTTGAACACCAACCACAGGCGAGAAAGCATCTGTTAAAAGGAGTAATGACTGTAGGATATGTTATTTCAGTTTATGATGAACAAACAAGAGTTTCTATACTATATTGTAATACTAATATTATTACCCTTATAAATAAAAGTGTTTTTATTTCACTTAGTTTTGAAATGATGTTTCCAAGATAAACTCAAGGGGGTGGGAGGAAACCCACATCAACATTCAAGCTCCCTTAGTATACAGAAAATAAACTAAAAGCTATTCTTGTCCCATAATTCTTGTCCTTTAACTGGAAAAAAAATAGATTGTTATAAAAACAAAGTTTTCAAAGCTTATTTAGGTAACTAGCCAAATTCTTTTCTCAAATACAGAAGTGGGACAAGGAAGCAACAGCATGGATACTTACATTATGATTTAAAAGTGAAATAATATCCCAGAAAGTCAGAGTAATAATGAAGATTGAGAAACCTATACTTTGAAAACTTAGAGAAGAAAAAAATCATTGTACTTTATTCTCCAATAGGCCTAGCGTGATACTAGAAAAAAGATGTATTCGTGCCTGAGAAGTAAACTGGAAGTAAGGAAGTTGGAGATATTTATCTTGTGAGATAAAACATATTTGGAATGCTTAGTCTCTTCATTTGTCAGATATTTCTTCACAACCAGTTGCAATTTATTCAAAATTATTCTAACTCTTTAATTAGCAAGTCAACAAGAAAGAAACACAGAGCTTGTTAGATAGGAATTTGTCCCAAGAAATCACAGTTACTAGTAAAAAATTCTATTAATTCTATACTCTAACACAGGAAACATGCTTACTCTTATGATTTAATTATTGCCTAGTTAGCAACTGCAACTTCTGAAAACCAATTGTAAGATGAGTCAATGTTCTAATGAAAAATACTGAACTCACAAATATGAACTAGTCATTTAGAACACTTATTTTTACAGAACTGAAGTATACATACTTTATTGTGTGTATATAATATATTTTGCATGCATGTGTATGCATATGAGATGAAGTAATTTCTCTTTTGGGGGAAGAATGAACTCACCTGTATTAGAATTGCCTCCTCTGAACCCTAATTCCTTTATAGCAAACAAAACGTCCTTTGCAGCAGTGAAATTTTTCAGATAGAATTCAATTTTTGGATATTCACTGTAGCAAAATAAAATATTAAGCAAAAAAACAGGGTTTATATGAATGATAACAAAACAATTCAAACTATATTTTAGCTTGCTAATGCTATAGTGGTATGAGCCCTGCTAGGGACCCTAGTGAACTACATACTTTCCCCACATACTTTCTTAATTACTAAAACAGAAGTACGCTCCTAGCTTAATGATTTTCAGTCCTGTGCAAAAGGAATTATTTACCTAGACAGGTAAACGAGGAAGAGGCTGATCCTTAAGCTTATTAAACAACTGAAGTACTAGATTGAATATCTATCCAGAGGTAAGTTTTGAACATGCCAGACTTCAAACTAAATGCATCTGTTAATAAAAAAAGTCTGCCGAATTTGTTTATTATTTGCATGATAATTATCCTGTAGTTTTCAAAAATTCCTGTGAAATTTAAAGAGTGAGTTATTTAATTTTAGAAGTTCAGAATCTACCAGCTCCACTAGCTACTGACTCCTTTTCCAGGTTTCACTATTTATTTACTATAGGAGACATATTAAAATAATTTTTTACACTATTAAATATTAAGAACCTCACAGATTTTAGTTGTGTTTTAGTACTTCACTACTCTAATGCTGTTCTGCAGAATAGACTGCTACATTAATTGATTTCTCTTATTAATCAGTTTTATTTCATGTACTTATTTCATTTTATTTCATGTAGATTATTACCTGGCTTGTACGACGCCTACGTGAGGCCCTTCCGTTCCAATTCCCAACATCACAGCTACTTTTCCAACAAAGTTTTTCTGCAAATTAAATCTACGCTGGCCGATATTGTAGCTTCCATCAATGAGAAATGCAATATCAGCTTTACAATCTGTGAATAGCCAAAATAATTAGAATACCTAATGCAAATAAATGTTAGAATTTTACTTTGCAGAAATTAAATCTGTGGAATCCTACCTTTGTTTCCTGACTTTTTCTCAAGGGTCTTCTTAGGTCTTTTGCCTTCAAAGAAGGAAACAGCATTTAAGAACAAAAAAATATGAACAGCCAGAGGACATGAACTGTAAAGAGCTTTGATTCTGTGAGCTGCATTACAATATATCCTGATTAAAAATGGTCTTGGGGTGATACTACCTTCCCACCTTGGGGTGACATCTTCAGCCAGTCAATAGTTAAGCCTGTTTCACTAGTGCTTTGCTCCTTGGAGGATATTCTCTATCAAACATAGCAGGTTTACCTGCTTTGTACACCTGCCTAACTGAAACTTAGAAATCTGGATGAATTTTTGTAGCTTCCTATTCCAAGTCCTTCTGTCTCACAGGAGAGGTACTTGGCAGGAAGGGATTTCAAGATTTCATATTTCTTTATGTTACCAGCAGCACACATCTGTCATTCAAGTTTAGCACATTGTTTTTTGAAGTATACTGACAGAGTAGCTTGTTGTTTTTTAGACTATTTTATCTATAATGATGGTTATAATTTTTATCATTTTTTTTTCAAGTACAGTAACTGAGAACATGTGAAAGCAGGTGAAATATCTGTGGGAGAATTTTGTATTTTTCATTATTCCTTATTTATAAAACAAGTGTGTATAATATTGGTAGCATGAAACTCAATGAAAACTGATCCACTGAAAACGTGGTCTTTTAACAGGCAGTCCTAGGAAAGGAAAGGAAAAAACAAAACAAAGCAAAATAAAAGCCTATAAACTGTTACTTTTATTGTCATGTGTCACGATTTATCCTGACACCAGTTTATTTCTGTAAGGACAAATGCATTATCTCTTTTGTCACTTATTAGCTTTGAATCTCCCATGAGGTCCAAATCTGTATAACTATTCTAAATTCAGTCATTTTTTTCTTGATTTACATGTATACCACTTAAAACAGAATCAGTCTCCCATATTACAAGTGATTCCTCTTATTGCTGATGGAAGATATACTGGAAAAAAAATAGATGTTAGTCATGTTTTCTTCTTTAAACATAAACAAAGTCCACAAAATATGTCATTTTAGTCAGACATTCATGCACTGCAGCACACATTATCGTATAGGGCTTCTCCTGTTAATAACCCAATGAATTGCAGGGGTCTCATACCTGTAGAGGGACGTGCTGTTGATATTGATCGTCCAACCGCTTCTAGCGCTATGTCCTTGCTACCTGTTAAATATTAAAAGGATAAGCTTACATCATTTCAGTGTATTGTATCAAATTACATGTGCTTGGAGTACATATGTTCTATTAGTGTTCTATTTCCAGGACTTTCTTCATCATCCTCTACTAGCTACTCCTGGAGGTGGGCACTGGCCTAAACAGATCTTTGGAGAGACCTGGTATTACAGTGCTTAGTCTTTTTGTTTGTTAATAAGTTTCTAATTTGTGCTTCTAAATTAGAAGGAAAAAAAAAAGATGATAAGTAATTATAGCGTATCTAATTGATAATAGTTTTTCGTTGTAGCAGACATTATTTCTAGCAAATAAATTCAGGGCTTGATCTTGGGGAAATGGTGATCAACTGCACCTTCACTGAAAGCATCTATAGTTTCAAGTTATTAGCAATTAATTTTAATGCAAAGATTACTAGTGTCTTAGAGATAATAGGCTGAATTTTAGGCCTGTAAACAACATTAATATATTGGAGTTTCATTTCACAAACTTGGAAAGAATATGCTGGAAGACACAGAGACTTACTGTAAAACACACACACACACACACATATATATATATATATATATATATATATATATATAACCAGTAGGCTTCTCTAAGTTTTTATGAAGTGACTTAAGCTAACTGAAGTGGCAGAAAGTAACTTTTTTTTTTTTTTTTTGGGCAATCAGATACCATATCTCGGCCTCATGGACAATAAAAAAATTGGAAAAAATACGGTATCACATTATGGTTTAATGACCAAATCTAAGGTGACATTACTCCTGGTTTTGGAGGGCTAGCTTTCTGTTTGCATAATGTCCTGAACAAGTTGTTCATATGGCCTGACAAATGCACAGGGGTAGGTGTGGGACTGTACAACCGAGGGCAGATCTAAAACTGTTTGGCTGAAAGTGATGGGAGGGCAGGACTGCAGCTACAGTGTTGAAGCGCCGTTTAGATAGTTTTGAATTGTCATGGAACGACACTGCCGACTGCTTGTTTCATGTATTTATATTCTGAATGTCTATGCTCCATTTTCTGGTCTCAGCTTTGATTACAGTTTGACTAGCCTAGATAGCACCAATTAAAGGAAACCAGGGGAAAAAGAAGATAAAATAAGAACTTAAAAGTGATAATGTTAGTTACTAAACAAAAATCACAGTTGTTTATGCATACAGAAGTTTCCTTGAGTAATTTTAGTTTCAAATAGAGTTTGCAAAATAGTATGTAGGATCCACCTACGAGTCACAGCGAAAGATGAAGCCCATCTAGCAAGCATCTGAGACTGGATCCCATTGGCATTTACGGCAGGGTAGTTCTCTTGTCCTGGGAGAGTCTGCACCTTTACAGCTCCTCCGGCACTGGTGATCACCCCTCTGAGAGGGAAGAAAAGTTATTATAAAACAGACATTTTAATCACAAGGACATGAAAACAATTTTACCATTCTGGACACTCCAACCTGCTGAAAAAGATGCTCCACAGGCAAGAAGTTGTGTCAAGACTGAAAAAAAAATTCTTAAGTCACTGGAAAGATTGCTAGAGAGTCTATTCTGCGGAGCATCACATAAACTTAGAAAAAAATATCAAGGTTTTAGAGTTCTAACATTGTTCAGACAGAAACATAAGAGCAATGAAAGGGCTTGCATATATTACTAAAAGAGCTATAGGAGAACATTTAGGTTTTGTACTGATTTTGTACTGATAGATCAACCTAACAAGCTTTCCTGGAAGCAATGATTTCAGCCTATCTTGTTCATAGCATGAACAGTTTTCTCCATATTGTTTCAGTATTTCTATTTATCTTTTCATTTTGATTGCCATTAAGTCATTCTGGAGAACCAGAAGTAATTCTGTGCCAGCTTTGGGAATTGTTTCCTCTGAAACCACAGTGAAAGATTTATTTGCTCCTGTCTATTTATTGAAAGTATCTGTTGATTCTGTTTCATCGTAAACCATAGAGGTCTAAGATGAACTATTTTCGTGTAATTAACTCTCCTTGCTAGTTTCAAGGCATGTGTGGGGGCTAATAGTAGATGCAAGTATAATATGAACTATATATCTTTCTGAAAAATACTCTTCCCTTGCCAATTTGTTCCATAGCCAAATTAATAAGTGTGTTATAAGCCATCTTGTAATACTTCAGTTTTACCCTGAGGTGTTTCTTCTTTAGTGCACGCTGATTTACGCTGAAGTAGAGTTGTTAGTCTGCCTTTATATTCTGAAAGACTTTGGCAAGCAACTTTGCATAGCCTTTAGAGATAAGATTCATCCTATGTAAATGGGCAGCAGTACTTGAGCAGTAAAAGGGTACCTATGCATTGCTTATGCATTTCCTCAGGATGTAATTTGTGTCACTAAGAGCTGCATAGATTTCCACTGCTGTGCTTTGTTCATTTGCCAGTGACTTGCATGCCAGGCTGTTTTGATTATACTGTAACTGCAGGTTTTCCAGATACAGTTTTCAATTCCTTAATCACTGCATTTCTTGCTACTGTCAGGGCTGCGATAAAGCAATGTTGTATAGGAGCTGTCTCTCCATTTTCTTGCCTAGTTTCACTGTTAATAATCATCCCTTGTGCTATATTTTTCATTCCAAAATACACACAAACATAAAAAGGAGACACATGGGGAAATAATCTAGTACCTCACTGCACAACAGCTCTTGGGAAGAATACTGGCCAGAAAACAGCATGAGAGAGAGGATATTCTTATAGGAAATAAGAATTCAACCAAAACCTACCTAAAAATGAAAACTGAAGTCAAAGAAAAAGTTGGAACAAAACTTTTGGAGTCTTCCCACCTTTTCAAAGTGAAATGTACAGCCTTGTTCGTCTGCTCTAACAGAGAAAGAGATAGAGGGTGCCTTCATTTTGCCGACCTCCAGATACCTTTTTTGAGGGAGTCTACACATCAGAGCTGATGCAGAGGGACCCTTCCAGTGAGATGACCTTTATATTTGTTACTGCAGTCAGCAGTCTTTGACATAGCAGTAAAGCTGAAATATTATTGTTAGAAGAAAGGGAAAATTAAGCTTTTCACCTTTATGGAAATGTTTTTCCTCTGGATAAGTTCAGTTGTTCTTTGGAATTTGCAAAATCTATGCTAGATTTTTTCAGATTGAGAGAACTCTCCTCAGCTTACCTGTTAGCTACTGACTTGTTGAAAAAGGTTTGAAATGAAGCTGAATGCCTGTTCTCTAAAAGTGATCTTAGCTCTGTAAATATAATGCAATGATCAGCTACATAAAATCATCTAAAAAAATTCAAAATATTGTCCATGAAATGGACAAAGATAATGTTACTATGCAGCAAGGGGTTAGGAGATTAAAGAAAATGGCTTTGAACATAGAATAAATGTTCCCATCTAAGGAAAGTCCAAAAGCAACAGGGCCTCAGCTGGAGTGTTGAAAGAAGTACATATTGAACAGCTTTAGTCTTGTGGTTCAGAAGCCAGTAGTTACTCAGAGAATAGCGTATACCTTCATGCTAATAATTCTGCTTGTCGTGTATGTCTGTCGGTAGACAATCTGCATTATCTACAGAGAGCAAAGATCAGAAAGGTGCCTGTCTGCCATGATATCCAAGGCTGGGCTTTTAACCTGGAGCCACTGTCAGCATGGGAGAGTGAGGAGTGCTTGCTGTGATATCACTTGGCATTTCTAATAGGATGCTTTGATGAAAAGTTATCCTCAGGAGGCTAGGCTCAGACCTGACAGATGAAGTAGATGAATTCCCATCTTCTCTTACTGCTATCAACAGCTACATAAAACTCCTTCCACATCCTCCTTTCTCCATTGCTGTGAGAAGTGCCTTCCACTCTTCTAAACTGCAGTCCCCTACCAATACCTGACGGAAGTTACTGATCCTGAGCTATTCTGGGTTTCGTGCCAGCAGCCCTTGCACCGCCCTAGGTTCTCCTCTCTGCTGTGCTCCTGTTGCTTTTGGCAAGAAAGGAAGGCTCAGCAGCAGAAGTAGATAATGTACCAAAGTGTCCCAGTAAACGTAGTGTTGCCCAGAAGTCCAATTCTTCTGGCCAAATGACCTCTTTGACAGCCTTTTTTTCTCCTGAGCACTGGGTCACCCAAAGGGTCCTCATGGTTAGCTTGTGACCCACAGAGTGTTGTGGCCACCTTGGTAATACCATGATGCACTTCTGTTACACTTATTTCTAGGAACCTGATGTTTAATTAGGTATTTTTCCACCCTGTGAATAGTTACAAAGTTTATGAAAACTTTCACATGTCTATTCAGCATCTAGATATTACCAAATCAAGTTAGCTCCCCATTTAGTGGAACTAGCTCAAGCTGTGAAGTTAATCCTCAATTTGGTGTTCTGATTATTAATCCAATTAATCACTCAGTGGTAGATTTAACTCACTTCCTTATGCCTACATAGTGAGAGCCTGGTAGGAGATTCTGCATTCTTTCCCATACCAAGCAAAATTTCTATTCTTCTGCCCAGAAAAAGAACGTTGTTAAATAGAATAAAAAAGTTAAATTTTAAAAATATGGCAGACTTCTTGAACACATTAATTTTCTGACATACCTGTGGATGGCAGCTCCACAGACACTGGAAAGAGAGGCATAGACTCCATCCCCAAAGACATAAAATTGCCACAGAGGACAGTTTGCTGGGCAAAGGACTTCTTCTGTTTCCTTTCGAAGGTCAAGTCCTCTTGTAAAGCATGTGATAGCAGTGGAAACTGGAAAAAAAAATGTAACATGAAAATCTTTTAAAACCACTGTTTCCAAGTGCAAAACAATGTTTGAATTTAGAGGTAGGTACAATGGAGTCTTATGCTCCAGTAAATCTGAACAGGTATCTTTGGAGCTTAAAAGGGCACACAAAATTTTTTATTAATTTTATGGGACAGAAATTGTAAGGAAAATAAAAAGATGGAAAAATTTAAAAGATATGACTGAAATAAGAAAGAGTAGTACAAAACATTAAAATAAAAATCCAATGAATAACACAGCGGAGAAGGTAGCAGCAATTCAAAAGAGCTGTAAGTTTCCTAGGGAAGCATAAAGGTGAGGGGAAGACCTTAGAGCATGGGTGAAGCACATGTCTACACAGCACACACCAGGAAAGAACTTAAATGACTCAGAAGTTCCCAAAGTAACCTCTAGCAATCTGGAGCACTTGTACCAATTCATTGCCTTGTGAAAACAACTGTCACATTCACTCACTGAGAAATATGAATTATTTATTCAGTTCAGTTTATTCAATTATTTAGGCACAACACATTTTCACATAACATTCCACCTTTCAATCTTGAAAAAACTGTACCTTGTGTACCTCATTAAGCTTTTCCTGTTTTCACATGTATGCAATGTACATATAATACCACTAGTAAACAATTTTGTCTGTCAAACTGAAGCTTTTTGAGACTTTAGAGGTCATTAGCTTGGATGCTTACAACCATTCTACCACTCTACACTACATTTTATCTCGCCAGTCTGACAGCGTGACTTAAGGCTTTTGCTTACAATTCAGCATCAAAAATTCAAACATGGATATTTATTCTGAAATTCCTATCAGTAAAGATTGCCCTTGCTGACCAGTAGAAGATGGAGGAACCCTTTTTCTATATGTATTACTTTTTCAGAATATTAAAAATGAGAGCTGGCAGAGACTGGCTAACATATCAATATATACTCAGTATTGTATCCCAAAAAGAGTATGTTTAGGAGATTAGAGATCTCTCTCTCATGGTCCTCTCAACTATTCTCTCTTTCCATAGAGTATTTACTGATCCTGACATAAACTTCTCTTACTTGAAAAGATGACTTCCCTTATCAGCATGCAAGAAAGCACTACCCTGTGCTTCTCGCTAATCTCACTAGGATTAGAATTGAAGAGCAAAGCATAGTGCACAGTAAAACTCATATTTGCTGTCTAAATTAACAATGAAGATGTTTATTTTTAAGTATAAGAAATCCTCATTAAGGCCATACTGAAATAGTTAAAACCTAGTCACATCTTCCTGAAAGTCTTTGTTGCTATTTGTGGGCACAAAAAGATATTATATAAATATGCTAACTATGCCTAACCCAGACTAAGGAAAGAAAAAAAGTAGTAAACACTTTAATTTTCCCTTCTGAAAAAATTATAAAAACTCTCCTTCTAGCAAGAGCCACTGTAAAGTGATTTAGATGAGTTTGCAATTTAAAGAAAAGGACCCAGTCCTAGACTCTTATCCTTCTGGACTCTGTCAGAGAGCAGAGATGTATGAAATTAAACTTCATGAAAGCAATGAAATGACCGCACTTAGGACACACATCTTTACATCTCAGAAGCATGCCACATCTGGGTACATTGTGGAAACAAAGTACAAAGCAAAAAAAAAAAAGTTTATTTCTTCCTAATTAAATGCGTATTTTAAAGGTCTTCCATCAGTGTTGACCCTAAAAAGAGAGAGAAGAAAGAAAGTAACCAAGACTTTTCTCCTAAAACATCTATCCAGTAACCATGCTTTCAGACATTCCATCCATTTCCATCTTTTTGTTGCCTCATCCCATGTACTGATTTGCACTGAATAGCTGCTTCTTACTACCACAAAAGAAGACTTTCAGATAGTTTTTGAAGACAGCCAAAACTCTAGAAAAATAAACAAATAAATCAATAAAATCCATAGCTAAAATCTGAGCTCTTCTAACCCTGACATTTCCATACCTTGCTTTGGGAAAGCAGATTTTATTTCTGTGTGTATAGAAAAAAATCCCCAAGTATATTATTATTAGAGAATGGAGGATTCCTGAAATAGTTTAATGACTCCTGTTCCTATTATGCTGCTTATTGCTTTAGGTATTAAGTATTATGTATTTATGAAACAGGAAGATTTGGAGTCCTTGCTATCTTGCACCATCAAATAAGCCTGAGTTTCATTTTAATTCAGTTACTACTCCCAGAGTCTTGTCCAAGTTAGAAAACAAACAAAACAAAAAAAAACTTTTTATTATTGGAAATTACGTTCACATGTTATGTACTATTCATATAACATTAAGCACATATCCTGATATGGACAAGGTAGGTATGAGTACTTAATACCTACCTCATATCATATGTATGAGCCTAAATCCATTAAATTTGGGAGGAAACTAATGTTCCCTCATTTCTTTGTATAACAGAATTCCAGGGCTTTTATAAAAGCTCTGCAAGCTTATAGTGCAGTAACCAAAAGCTACTGAATTTGAGCTCACAATAATGATAAAACACAATCTCACAAAGCATCTGTTCACATACTATATAAAAACATTCTGGTATTTTTTGCTAACCAAATAGAGTAAAATTACAGTTGTCAACAGTTCCTTAATGTTAGTTTAGTTGATGCCCGATACCTTCACTTTACAGTGACTTCTTCTGCAGTTCTGTGGGGAAGCATTAGAGTCAGCTTTTCACTTGCGTCCTGCAGGGTTGTTGATACTTCTCCTGTAGTGTTCCCGTAAAATAGAGAGGAAAGGAGTTGAGGTTGGAATAGGTTTTCCATTGCCTCCCTCTTTATTTTTAAAGGTAACAGTACTCCTGTGACGTATAGCCGTATAGCCGTTAACACAGAAGCACAAAAGTCTTTTCTGAGCATTTCAAAACAAAGTGATCATTAACTCTTTCTTCATAAGGATTTCGAAACTCTCACAATCATAAGAAAAGCTTGAGCGCACTCACCCTCCGCGGGCCAAGGCAGTGCCTGGAAGCGCAGCCTTCCGTGGGTTCCTGCCCGCCCCAGTGCAAGGCTTTGCTGGAAGGGGTAGCCAACTACTTGTGTCCCTTTGGCGACTTATTTCTTTAACCATTTCCTATGGCTCCCGATTGCCTTGGTTTGCCTCTGGCTCTAGGGGAGCCCATTCTCCAGCAGCAAGATCCAGTCCAGCAGGGCATGCAGCATGTGCCCATTCATGCCCTCCTGGGAATGCTGAGGTCTCTGTTGCTTTCCAGGGCAAAATAATGGTGGGGTGGATTTAAAAGGCTTAGACTGGTTCCGTGGTCAGAAATACTTTGGAGATCCTCAGTACGGCACTCTCTGAATGCCATAAACATGCACACATGCACACACATACTGTTGCTAGTGGTGTTCCCCTTGGAGGGAATAGTTGTTCCTGTTGCCCATCTTCAGTCGATGCCTAGAGGAAGTTTTTCTCCCCGATCTGGAAACATTTCCAGGTTTCCTCCGTTTCCTTTTGCATCCCCCCAGCCTTTTCCACTTTCACCGAGCGCCGAGAGCAGTGCCAGCTACAGGCCCGTGCCCCGTTCGTTTCGGCTGTCACTCCGAGGAGCACGCGTGGCGCTTCTGTCGGCCCCGCACGTTTGCTCCGTCGCTTCACCTGGTGATGCCGCCTAGCAGCGGCGCCCCAGCC